GGAAAATAGAAACGGCCTACCTCACAAACGTTCTCGCATCTGCCTGGCCTGTGGGTTGAGAAAGGAAAGAAAAGATTCAAAATGGCGTCCGTGGACTTAATATTCACGGTCAATGCAGTCACGCAAAAGTCACTTATGCTACACACATGCTAATGAGGTGTGTATGGGCTCCATAAAAAGCAGGTTGCTTGAAGACATTGGCAGACCAACATTTCACCCGTGTTTGGTGTACATAGTTTTGCGTTGGTATATATCAGACATTTTCAGACGGAAAGAGTTGTGTCCATTACACTGTTTAAGTCGAAAATATTGTGCCAAGCTTGATTTGGCCATTATTAAAAAATTGACAGATTCGGAATTAAGTTAAACCAGAGTTCGACGGTCTCCCCGCTGGCACGCCTTCTGGTCGAAGGGTGGAAAAGGCTGACTGGGTCTGCCAGCTGTGTAAAATTAAAGATCTCGCCTGGTCATCCTCTTAGACATTGACCAAAGGAGCTTACGCCCAGTATCAACAATTGAATTCTGACAGTTTTTGCTTGAGGAAATAAAACATACTGGTATAAGCAGCATTTGGGTTGTCTTTGTATCCTGGAGGCAGTTCATCAAAGTGGCTTGGACCGATGAAACAGTAGATGTCTTTTAGGCGACAGAGGAAGCTACGATTGTTGATATGGATGCAAGTTTTTCAAATCCCAGGATGCGCCTTTACAATCCTCAAACAACGCTGCGACTGAAAATGTCATCGCTCTATCATTTTATATGGGGCTTTGACGAATTAAAGGCCAAATTGAATATTCTAAAGATGACGGAGCCGGGAATCAGCAGTTGTCAAAAGCACCCGCACCACCAACTGAGGACATAAGATTGCTATAAATGTGGCATGACTGAACCATTCTCCAAAGACTGCCAAAACCATTTTAAGGATACGCATAAATCGAAGAACACGGAAATCGTACAAGTTTTACAGGTTCATTAAAGTTGAAGAAAAAAAGCTGTCCGGGGAAACGGGCAAGGGGAGGCTATCTTGGATCTACTGGTTTCCCCAGATCGCTGAATGTGAAAAGGCGCTACCCGCAGGAGCATGCGGATTAACTAAATAGAAAAATTTGCCGCTTGTTGACACCGGGTACCCAGACCCTTTGCGCAAATGTTGTGGTCATCGCGGGACAAGAAAAATATTCCAAGTTCTGACTGTTGGCGGGGCTCGCTAACTGGTTTGGAGTGAGCGTATCCACTAAAGCATCGGGCGATGGGCCTGCAGTAGCTGTAAAAGCCCTGGTCGTGGGACGGAGGGCTGCTTTCAATATGATCTGCTCCTGGGAATGGACGTCATCAAAAATTGGGTGGTGTCCGTGTTGATTTTCTGAGGGTCGGGCGCGTTTCACTGAAACAGGTTAAGCTTTAGGTGCAGCAATGGAGCTGGAAATGGCCTGACTTTCGCGGCGGAGTTGACCAGCAGCACAAAGTCCTGGACGGTATCTTGGAAAAAATGTCAGACGATCAACCGCCAGAGAAGCTGTACAACAGTGTGCTGGAGTATAGGATCCCCGAAGCTCGTGTGCGAGTACAACAAGGAATTGCAGCCTGGATTAATAACGGTGGTTGGTTCCTTATCCAGAGAAGGAATTAGCCCCAAAGGGCCTGATCCCACTAATGGCGGTTCTCCAGCACAACAAACAAAAGGTGAGGCCGGTGTCGATCCAATCGAGAACTGAATGAGCACGTGGACCTTTTTTTTGCCAGCGCGGACGTGTGTACCGAAAGCTAAGGGAATGGCGAATAAGCAGGATCAAATGTATCTGTGCTGGATCTTCGCATCCCATACCTTCAAGTGCGATGCACCAATCACTTTGGCCCTATCAAACCGCACCTATCAGGGGGCAACGGTATTGCCTGACCCGCATGGGGTTTGGACTCAATTTTAACATCGATTATGCAGATGATTGTTGATGCCATTCTAATGAAGGATGAGCTCATTTTCGGGCAACATCTGCATATATTGATGACGCATACGTGAAACAGGGAGTGATTCTTCAGCGCTGAAGGAGCATCTCTACAACTTTGGCCTCCTCAGCAAGGAACCGGAGAGACTACAGGATGGTGCACGGTGCTTGGTTTGCAGGTCTGGGGAGAAGATGACGCCCTGTATTGAAACGGGAAACGAACTTCCAGACATGCCCTCCGTTGTCACTAGCGAAGCATATTTTCCTTAAAAATTTAGTTGGACACCTTCCTGTAGGTGGCTGGCTGCGTGTTGCGGTGGCGTTTATCAATTGGAGAGCATCTGACGTCACCACTGGATGGGATGACGAAGTTCACGATGCCCCTCTTAACACCATGATGAAGGAGGTCCTCGCTTAGAGCAAGCAAATGAAGACCCAGCGCGGGCAGATCGTCGTTGACAGCCAAGACCTCTGTGTGTGGGTTGACGAAGCTTCTTTGTAACTGGCGATCGATAATTCATGATGGAGCCGGGTGAAGATGCTTGCTGGTTACGCCCAGAAAGGGACTCCCAGCACATAAAACCTAGCGGAGCTCGATGCTGTCATCAAGGGGATCAACTTGGCGATCCTCTGGAAGTCGACCACCCCGCGCCTGTTCACTGATTCCGCTTGCGGTTATAAGTGGATCTCTGATACCTTGACCGGGAGGGCCAGGGTGCGACTAAAGCCACCAGCGAGATGCTTATCCGACGATCGTGAATTTAGTGCAAGAGTACGCACCGACAATGGAGGTGTCCCTGGTCAAATCTAAATACTTAGCCTCAACAAAGCAGATTGTTTAACGAGGGTGCCGCAAAGGTGGCTTGACGCCATTAAGAAAGTCAAATGAGCCCAGGTAACCAGCCTGCGCTGATCTCCCGTGAGTCCCGCTCGATTAATCAAATCAAAGAAGTCCACCAACAAAGTGGGCACCCTGAGTCAAGCGGACACTGTATTTCGCCAATTGGTTGACCCAGGAAACAAAAGACAGACGCCAGGAGAGTGGTTTTTGAAGCTGCGTGAATACAACAGTCTATAGACCCCAGCACCCGCTTCGCTGGAAGAAAGGGCAGCTGAAAAAAAAAAACCAAAAAAGCCGGCTTAAAAAACCATGACCTTCTTGATTGTGGTCCATCCAGGTTTGCGATATGGCGACTGCTGCGTCGGCAAGATGCAGCCACTATCATCCGTCCAGTTAAACAGCATCTTTCTTGAAAAAAAAAAAAAACGGAGATATTAACCGACAATGGCACCGCATTCACCAGCGAGCAGTTCGGGAAGTTTATTTTTGGCTGGGGAGTGATCTTTACGGTTCCGGTTTTTTTTTTTTTTTAAAAAAGGAAATGGAATCATCGAGAGTGGAAATGGAATCATCGAAGGAAAAACCTAAACCGGTTGAAACCATCGCTCCTAAGATGGGCTGCGCGTATCTGAGGCGGTGGAGATTATACAACGTGAGAATCAGAGGATGATGTCTACCCCACGGCGGCAGAAGACACATTGCATAGGTACCAAGTAGAGTGAAGGGCATAGAAACCAACCCACCCCCGGAACTGAAAACCACCGGAGAGAGGCTGAAAAAAGGCGATGTCATCTGGATTAAAAAACCTGCACATCAAACAAAAATCGGACGCTACCTAGTGAGGTGATCAATGTTGTTTAGGCGGTATTGGTTTTCGGTGTGCCCTGTCACGATAAATACCTGTGTCAAACGACGAAGTTGCAACCACCGCTGGACGATGAGAGCTAATTTACCTTTGAGACCAGTGAGGCCAATTTTGCTTTTTCACGCCAGCCCCATCAGGCAGTGACTGGATATCAGTAGCCTTCAAGAGACGCGGTGTGTGGTTCGTATGTTTCAGACCTCAGACAGGAGCAAAAAAATGATGAGGCTCGCAAAGCCCCTTTCAAGAAGTTACCATTCGTTCTGGATCACCACCTCCCTGTCAACTCTGTGATCATGAGATCAGGGGGGTGTGGGGAAAAATAGAAACGGCCTACCTTCAAACGCTTAGTTCGTTGATCTGCCTGGCCTGTGGGTTGAGAAAGGAAAGAAAAGATTCAAAATGGTGCCCGTGGACTTTTAATATTCACGGTCTCGCAGTCACGCAGTTAATTCTCTCCCACATGCTAATGAGGTGTGTCTGGGCTCCATAAAAAGCAGGTTGCTTGGAGACATTGGCAGACCAACATTTCACCCGTAGCCTTTCGTACATCGCTTTTTTGCGTTGCAGCGTGTCAAACATTTTCAGACGGAAAGAGTTGCGAGAAAAACACTGTTTAAGTCGACTCATTTGCTACATTATGGAAGCTACTGGTGACTATCGATGTACCTGATATCCTTAAAGGTGAAGCGATTTTGCTTCTTATTGCACCCCCAGAACTCCACAAGGAGTAATGAAAGTTAAAGTATGTTGAATTATTTACGTATTTTTTAATGTATGTTTTTTATTTCATGCTTCAATTTTTTTTTTTTCAAAGTCAAAATATGCATGCAAAACGTAATCCATTACATCAAAATATTACTCATTTTTTAATCAGCATACAAAAATTAAGATCTATACGCACAATACAAAGAAAGTTATAACAATTTTACAACAGTAGGTGTTCATGTTTTTGCACCATCAAGAAAAAAAAAAAAAAAAAAAAAAAGAAAGCAGTGGGAGGGGAGACTTTCTAGAAAGAAATTAGTGTGGTAAAGGTTAATATAGACGAACCACCAGTTATGCACTATGTCTGGTTTTGTTGCCAACAGGTCTCAACCCCACCCCCACTCATTTACACCTCCGTTCCCTTTCAAAGTGAATGTTGTTTAGAATACTTCAAAAGCCCCATCCATGAAACAGAAACACTTTAGATTGAGATAAAAAGCATATCTTCCTCTTCTAAATAGGTGTCTCAAGCATAGTGTCACAATAACATTGATTAATTTGGAGACAAGTTGATATCAAGTGACTGACTATATTTAACCCATTAATGGCCAGAACAAAATCTGGGACCGATTATAAAAATAAAAATCTAGTATTGAAAAAAAAAGGAAAGAGAAAAAAAAAGGAAAGAGAAAAAAAAAGGAAAGAGAAAAAAAAAGGAAAGAGAAAAAAAGGAAAGAGAAAAAAAAAGAGAAAAAAAAAAGAAAAAAAAGGAAAGAAAAAAAAGGAAAGAGAAAAAAAGGAAAGAAAAAAAAGGAAAGAAAAAAAAAAGAGGAAAGAGAAAAAAAAAAGAAAAAAAAAAGGAAAGAGAAAAAAAGGAAAGAGAAAAAAAAGAAAAGAGAAAAAAAGGAAAGAGAAAAAAAGAAAGAAAAAAAAAAAAGGAAAGAGAAAAAAAGGAAAAAAAAAAAAAAAAAAAGGAAAAAAAGGAAAGAGAAAAAAAAGGAAAGAAAGAGAAAAAAAAGGAAAGAAAGAGAAAAAAAAGGAAAGAAAGAGAAAAAAAAGGAAAGAAAAAAAAGGAAAGAAAAAAAAGGAAAGAGAAAAAAAAGGAAAGAGAAAAAAAAGGAAAGAGAAAAAAAGGAAAGGAAAAAAAAAAAGGAAAGAAAGAAAAAAAGGAAAGAAAGAGAAAAAAAGGAAAGAAAGAGAAAAAAGGAAAAAAAAAAAAAAAAAAAAAAAAAAAAAAAAGGAAAGAAAAAAAAAGGAAAGAAAAAAAAAGGAAAGAAAAAAAGGAAAGAAAAAAGGAAAGAAAAAAAGGAAAGAAAAAAAAGGGAAAGAAAAAAAAAAAGAAAAAAGAAAAAAAAAAAAAAAAGAAGGAAAAAAAAGGAAAGAAAAAAAAAGAAGGAAAAAAAAAAAAGAAAGAAAAAAAGGAAAAAAAGGAAAGAAATAGAAGGAAAAAAAGGAAAGAAATAGAAGACAAAAAAGGAAAAAATAGAAGACAAAAAAGGAAAAAATAGAAGACAAAAAAAGGAAAAAATAGAAGACAAAAAAAGGAAAAAATAGAAGACAAAAAAAGGAAAAAATAGAAGACAAAAAAAGGAAAAAATAGAAGACAAAAAAAGGAAAAAATAGAAGACAAAAAAAGGAAAAAATAGAAAAAAAAAAAAAAAATGGTATTTACTGAAAATGGCGTTGCTAGGAAAGAATATTTGCAGATTGCATTCCTCCCCTTATATGCATTAGTATATCCATGATATACTAACACCTTCACAGACGAAACAGAATAGCAGAAAAGAAAGTCAAACATGCATTGTTCTCAAATAGATTTTTTTATACAGATATATACATACATGACACTAATTTCTCCCATACATAGAAATTATAACATATTCATAACAACAAGTAATGTGAAAAGGAGCAAAACACAAGATAGTTTTACTTGTAATATTTCCCCCAAAGGGAAAAGTTCAGTTGGTGATTTTCTCTATTTGCCTAGTGAGACCATGTGGTTTCCTCTGATCTCTTAACTGTTGTGGGGAGTCATGTCTTGCTTTTCTGCTGTTTATATAGCAATTGGGGTTTGAAAACACATCTTACCTCTACATTTGTTAAATGGCAACTAGGGTTTGTCATTCTATGGATACCGGCCATCACATAAAGCCTGTGAATTCTTTTTTATATATATATATATATATATATATATATATATATATATATATATAAAAATAAAAATAAATTTCAGTCAAGCACTTTTAGAGAGAAAGCACAAATTTGTAAACAGTGACTGCTGATAATGCACAGCTTTTCTGTGGATTGAGCAAAGTGTCACTGGCATGTTTATTCAAAATAAATACATAAAAATTCACCTTACCCTCTGCTGACAGCTGATAGATTAGGGGAAAAAAAAATCTCCAACTGATGCCAAATCAGTTGTGTTTCAATCCTGGCTTGAGGCAATCAGATAGCTAGCCACACTGATGAGTTGTAATACAGAGAAACAATGTCTGTGGATGACAATATAAAAATAACTATACACACACAAGACTATGCTTACCTGATTGCGTCGATTCTCAAGCAGAGACTTTTCATACTGTTGTGCATTTTTCAACCCAATCCCACAGAAAGCAAGGTAAGATGCAAACACCTATAAAAGATAAAAATATCATTTAAAAACGTTTAATTAATTGAGGGCAAGCAGTACAAAAAGATGAGATGTCCCTAGGCACGGACAGGGAGCCAAAGAGAAGAGTTCAGTTTGAAATTCCCATGGTTTACGGACATAACCCATTGAAACACTGGTTCTCATATGATCAATGAAGTTAAGCAAGGTTGGTCTGGTCAGTACCTAGATGGGTGACTACATGGGGGCTGCAGGTGGTGTAATGCATAATGGCTCAGAATTGGAAACAACACTTCGAATTGGATTCATTATATTCAGAGGCCTTGCTGTCAGATGTAGTTTTTCATCTCACCTAGGACACGGATGTAGTTTATTGTGATACTCGGTACGAGTTAATGCCTGGATATGTTCGACAAAAATCAGAATTATGAACCTTACAGCACTTCCTTGACCTTCAGAAAATTACCACTGTCGGGTTTCAAAATGATGACACCTGCTATTATGTTACAATTGTTTGAGATTGAATGAATAATTCTCGAAATCAGTGCACTGGATATGGAAGTGGCAGACAATAGGCAGCTGGATCACCGGATCTAAGCCCTTTTACTTTCTTGGGGCTTGGAAGTTAACTTAACAAGAATTCAAATGGGACAATTGACATGAATGGATATAAATGTTGCATTGCATGTCATCTCTGGATTCTAGTGGTCTATAAACAATTCCTCAGTAGGGACCCCAATGCTGCATCACAGACTGAATCAACTGCAGCTAATTTTTCTACAAGTTTCTTTTTTTACTCCCATTATTATGGTGGAAGCATCGTGGTAGGTCATGTTTCTGTAAGGGAGAAAGAGCGAGAGAGAACAGATGTCAAGCAATTCCTTAGTAGGGACCCCAATGCTGCATCACTGACCGACTCAACAGCAGATGATTTTCTTTGGGTTTCTTTTTTTACTCCCTTTATTATGGGGGGGGAAGCACAGTGGTAGGTCATGTTTCTGCAAGGAAGCAAGGAGAAAGAGCGAGAGAGAACAGATGTCAACAGGTTGGCTAGTTACAATTCCACTCCCTCTTGAACACTGGAAAGAGAAATTCACCTACGGTTAACATCTGGATGGATTTGACAAAAATGAAAGATTTATTCTATGCTAACTGATTGATATGTGACTAAATTAAACAGAAACTAAACTAAAGTATGCATTCTGTCAATTATGGGAATTATTCTACAATACCATTTGAGTTGGGCATCTTGGTGTGGTGTAATGGTTAGCAAGCTTGTCTTGTTAGATCAGTTACGACTGAAAAGCGAGTTCAAACCTCACTAAGTGCCACATATTTTCGGACTTATCTCAGTTATGCTTAGAAAATAAACAATCATTTGAGTAGATAAACATCAAAATAGCTTTGGGACTTGTAAAATTTTAATGCTTAGACAGGGTTAACAAAGATGAAGATTTATGAACTGTTTGTCTGTGTCAAAGACAATTACCAAACAGATCTACACTATTTACATTATTCGGACTATTGTCCTCATCTTTGTCGCCATATTACAACGTTTTGGCAGTTGTACGCACCGGCATTCTTCAGGTGGCTGGTATGTCGAACTGAACCTTTTATTTCGCTCACTGGGGTAGACTGTTCTAGTTATCAGTTATCTCCTGTTAATTCCCCCTCTCCAAGTTCTCCACTGCCTTAACCAGGTATTGAACTCACACTCTTTGGGTCCTGTCACTGGATCTAACCAACGCCTTTATCCACTATGCCATGTGTCCTTAAGAACAGTCTACCCCAGTGAGCAAAATAAAAGGTTCAGCCCGACATTCCAACCACCTGAAGAAGGCCGGAGCATACAACGGCCGAAACGTTGTAATAAACATGGCGACAAAGATGAGGACAATAGTCTGAATAATGTAAATAGTGTACATAATACCTCATTTCAGAAATATGGACAGATACTGAAAGGCTGAAATGTTGTAATAAATATGGCGACAAAGATGAGGACAATAGTCCGAATAAAGTAAATAGTGTACATAATACCTCATCTCAGAAATATAGACAAACTGATCTATTCGGACAATTTCTGCCCGAATTTCTGGGAGGAGAGATTATTTACAACATTTACATTCAGACTATTGCCATCATGTTTCAGTTGTTGTGTCTGTCATCCTCAGGTGCATATCGATCTGGGTAACCTACAGAGACTATAGCCTAGTGGATTAAAGTGTTGGTTCATGAATTTGGCAACATAATTGAGAGTTCAATCCTTGGGCTGGGCAATGCATTCTTGGACTCAGTGAAGATTGGCAAACAATATTAACAGTACTAAAAATAAAAACTAGACGATATTCCTAGACATGGGCAGTGTAACAAAAAACAATCTACCGCCATAGAAAGGGTTCAGTCCAGAATTTCCTCAAAGTTACCCACAATGAAGGCCAGAGGGCACAGTGACTAAAATTATGATCACCACAAAGATGAGGATAATAGTCCGAATATATATAGCGGAAATAACTAAGCTGCAGCTAGTAATTGAATTTCATTAGCTGCAGATTAGAATCAATACTGTTACATTTCAATATGTGATAACCTTATTATGCAAGAATTGTTGAAGATGACCTAAATGATTTTTAAGTGGGAAGATTAGATTTGGAAAAAAACAGAGCAAAGCCAATACAATCACCTGTTCTAGTTTGTTTTGGATTTCTTTGAATGGGACGTTTTTAAATTACAGTACCAGTTCACTCCTCCCTGATCTTTTGAACAGGAGTAGAGCTTTATCCCTTGTTTCCTGCTTAGGATTAGGTTTCTGGTTCTGTCTAAAGTCTTTTCCTTCTGTTTAACTGCCACTAGCCCCTTGTGTCTTAGTGGCATTATTACCTTGCTTGGGGTGAATTGATTTAAAAAAAAAAAAAAAAAAATTACACTCACAGAGTGTAACAGCAAAATTGTCCAAATCCAAAACAGCATGCAATAACTGTATTTCTGAGATGAGGTAATATGTACACTATATTATTCGGACTATTGTGCGAATATTTATTACGTTTCGGCCATTGTATGCTCTGGCCTTCTTCAGGTGATTGGAATGTTGAACTGAACCCTTTATTTCACTCACTGGGGTAGACTGTTCTAGTTCCACGTGCCATGTCTAATGGATGCCAGTTATCAGTTATCTCCTGTTAATTCCTCTCTCCAAGTTCTCCAATGCCTGAACTCACACTCTTTGGGTCCTGTCACTGGATCTAACTAACACCTTTATCCACTGTGCCATGTGTTCTTGAGGACACATGGCACAGTGGATAAAGGCGTTGAAGAACTTGGAGAGGAGAATTAACAGGAGATAACTGATAATAGATATTCATTAGACATGGCATGTGGAACCAGAACAGTCTACCCCAGTGAGCAAAATAAAGTGTTCAGTTTGACATTCCAACCACCTGAAGAAGGTTGGAGCGTACAATGGCCGAAATGTTGTAATAAATAGGGTGACAAAGATGAGGACAATAGTCCGAATAATATAAATAGTGAGCATGCAATAATTATCCATCCTACAAAAATGTTTAATATCTAAAAAAAAAAAAAACCACTAAACTAAGAGTTCCTTTTTTTTTTTCCAGGCTTTCAGATAAGACATTTAGCATCTTGGCACCATTTTTCGTAAGAATCACTGAGAAACCGAGTTATTCAGCTAGAAAGAGAACAGGTTAAAATCGTTTTGTGTCATACCCACTGTCTTCTTAACTGAGCAATGATGAGAGGGAAAAGATCATTAAGGCCTTCAGTAATGGTACCAACATTCATACTCTGGTTTCCATCTTCAAAGACCATTCAAGAACCATCAAGAGAACGGTGAATAAGTTTAAAAAAGATGGAAAAGTAGAGAGAACTGGATCAGAAGGTCACAATAGGAAGAGGGATCATCATTTCAACTTAGAGCGAAATACATTCTTATTGTTCAAAGTAGAGTCCAATAATGTTATAAAAACCTCGGAGAAATGCAGTAAATTATCTTGAATTATTTCTAAGATACAACAGTTTCAAAACTTAATTTAACAATTGGACAAATTTACTGTCACACCTTATATATACAGTAGCGTCCAAAACTAAGGGACAAAATTTTAAAACCTAATATTTGTTAGAAATAACTGTGAAAAGCTGAAATTTTGTCAACTGGTAGTCATTATCATCCATAATAACATACTAAAATTTGAATAATTTGCAAAGGATAGAAAAAGAATTATAACAATTATTTATTTATTTTCAAAATAGGATTGCCCAAAAGTAAGGGACAAAATTGAGAAAAACAATGTAAACAGTATGCTATATTCAAATTTTTGATTTCCTTTTAAAGAATAAGTCTTACTTAGTCATTTGTAAATGTTGCATCAGCCGCACCATGGCGAAACGCTAAAAACTTGATTACTTTGTGAGACAAGCTATTGTGAAGCTACACAGGAAAAAGCACACCATTAGAGAAATTTCAGAGAAAGTGAAACGTTCCAAGAGTGTTGTAGGCAGGGTTGTTAAATCCTACAATGATACTGGCAAAATAGTTGGTGCTTTTAAAACCGGGCAGACCCTGCAAAACTTCGGCAAGAGATGATCGAATAATGCAGCGTATGTCATTAAAGGACCGTTTTAAGTCTTGCACAGAAATTAAAAGGGTTATGAATAGTACCTCATGTGTTAATGTGTCAAGACAGACTGTTTGTAGACGACTGCAAGAAATAGGGCTGTTTAATCGAACCCCAAAGGAAGAAACCACTTGTTAGTTCAAGAATAAGAGATTAGAGTTTGAAACAAACATGTAATTTGGACATATGAAAATTGGGCAAAAGTATTTTCAGTGATGAAAGCAAGTTTAATTTATTTGGAAATGATGGAAAAAAACAATGTAAAGAGACATATTGGTGAAAGATTAAGTGCAAAGTGTACTAAGAAAACTGTCAAGTTTTAGGGCGGAAGCGTCATGGTATTTGGAATGTTTTCTAGCCAAGGTACAACGCCTCTTGTCCGGTTACAAACTCGTGTAAACATGCAGATCTATAAAAACATTGTTCAAGATCATGTTGTGCCAATCATACAGAATTCAGGTTTCGATAGGGCTACCTTTTATGCAAGATAATGCCCCATGTCACAAGGCAAACGTGGTAATGAGTTACCTTAGCGAGCAAGATTTGGAAATTATGGATTGGCCACCAAAAGTCCTGACTTAAATCCAATAGAAAATCTTTGGAAGACCTTAGGAGTGAAAGTTATGGAAAGAAATCCCACTAACACGGAGGATTTTTTGGTTGAAGCTCAAGAAGAATTCTAAAATTAAATATTGATTGTACATGTATTTTTCTTGTTTTTGTCTGTTTAGAGCAAGGGCTTTTTACTAAATTTTTGTCTCTATTCTTATTGTTTTTTTTAAGGATTACATTGTTCCAAATTTGTCCCTTTAAATAAATAATTTGTTAATAAATAATTCTATCCTTTGCAAATGATTCAAATTTTAGTATGTTATTATGGATGATAATGACTACCAGTTGTCAAAATTTCAGTTTTTCACAGTTGTTATTTCTAACAAATATTAGGTTTTAAAATTTTGTCCCTTAGTTTTGAACGCTACTATATATATATATATATATATATATATATATATATATACACACACACACAATAATTCCCCTTGTATGATTTTTTTTTTTTTTTTTAATACAAAAATAAGCAAAATTAGGGGTGCTTATTATGCACAGCTACAAAAATAAAATCTTTAAAAAAAAATTGCCGTTTCATAGGTCGATTTCAGTTGTGAAATGGCAACTCACAACAAACATATGACAATTTGGCACTAACATTTGGTGATTGCAACTCCATAAGGATGTCAAATACAATCATATGTACCTAACAAAATTTACAAATGTAAAATAAAATAACAATTATCATAAAACTAAATTAGAATAATATTATTCTATGTTTAAAACCAATTTTTTTTTTAAATAAGAGTACAAAATGTTAGCCATAATGAAATTGGGGATGTACAATTTATAGGGTTTGATTACCAAACAAGGGGTGCGTATTATGCATGAGTAGAAGCATTTTTCCACACTTTCAGCACAATTTTAGGGGTGCATATTATGGATGAAGGTGTAATACATATAGGGAATTACTGTGTGTGTGTGTGTGTGTATATATATATCTTATTATAAAACCCAGGTTGTGTGTGTGTGTACGTTTATATATTGGATCGTATTTCCTACATTTTTCAACCGATTTCAACAAAACTTCACAGGACTACGTAAAATTACCTTGCGGTGGTTCTGACAGTGCCAAAATTGACAACAAATTGTTTTTTGCACGAAATCAATTTAAAAACACGATTAAGAGGCATCGCTGAATGAAAGGGGACAACTCATATCGAAGTTATACTTATTATAAAAACCCAGGTTGTGTGTGTGTGTGTGTGTGTGTGTGTGTGTGTTTATATATGGGATCGGATTTCCTACATTTTTCAACCGATTTCAACAAAACTTCACATTTTTTTTGGCAGGTAGTGTTTCTTATTGTCTTGCACACTTTTTTCTTTATTTTTTACATTCAGAATGCTTTAAAAATTCCATTTACAAGACAATTGTTTATAATAAAATTCTATTCAATCGGTAGACTCATAACGATTGAAAACAATGTTTTGTTTGAGTTTGACCAATTCTTTAAAAAAACTAATTCAGACATGAGTGTCAGTCAACCTTAAACAATCTTTGTCAATTTTATTTTTCAGTCTTTATGATGGTCGGTACTTGATCTATCTCTTACTGTTGCAACGCCGGACTCTACTGCTAGTGTAAAATAAAATAAGAATAATATTATTCTACGTTTAAAACCATTTTTTTTTTTTTTTTTTAAATAAGAGTACAAAATGTTAGCCATAATGAAATTGGGGATGTACAATTTATAGGGTTTGATTACCAAACAAGGGGTGCGTATTATGCACGAGTAGAAGCATTTTTCCACACTTTCAGCACAATTTTAGGGGTGCATATTATGGATGAAGGTGTATTACATATAGGGAATTACTGTGTGTGTGTATATATATATATATATATATATACACACACACACACACAAGATGCTACAGAGTGTGCTTAAAAAATGCCGGCATATTGATAGCTAACACACATCAGAACCTCATGTTCAATTTTTATTTGGGTTTGTTTTTATTTAAACAAATAAGAAATTTACAGACACGGGATTATCTGTTTATCACTTCCATTTTTTTCTGGAATATACTGAAAAAAAAAAAAAAAGCTATTCTAAGAAAAGCTTTTTTTTTTACGGTCATTATCAGGAAGTGCCTTGAATTACTAAACTATTCACTGCAAGGTATCTCAAAAAAGTATTGATTCAAGTCAATTTGCAGGCAGTGAAGAAGGCAGAGAATGGAAAGATTGCTTTCTAGTCACTGAGGACTTTGCTAATACAAGATCAAATGAAAATATCTGGATCACAAAGGGTCAAACCATCATCAGTTACATGACCAAATATGGTCATACAGTCCCTAACCCTAGCAAGCATCTGACCAGCTCCCACCCCATGTTATAGTTGTATGTCAATGGCTAAGTCTCTATGAAAATTCTGACTTCAGCAAACCGAATTTGAATTGCCTGAAAAGAAACCTGGACAGCGTACCTTTTCATCTTTCTCATCGAAGGGTTCATCTTTGCCCCCAAACTTGTTCACTGTTTGGGCAACACCAATCACTTCCCCATTCTGGTCCTTTATGGGCATACTGAGAATGCTGTGGGTTTTATAACCTGGGTTTTATAACCTGTTTAAACAACTTTAAGTCAAATATTCTTTTATAGATACAAATATAATAATAATAATAATAAATAGTATCCTGTCCGGTTCAAAGAATCTGGGGTCCTTTATTTAAAATAAAACATAAAAAAAAAATTTAAATAACTTTGTCCATTCTTATTTCTGGGAGGAGGTGTTATTTACAGTCACAGTAATGTTTAAACATTCTTTTTATAGATACAAATACTGTCTGTTTCATAATGTATTCACAGTAATGTCAAAATGTTATTCATGCTATGTTTCAGCCATTGTGGCGATATAAACATAAATGTCTTAAATAATTGTGGGACTGTTTCATAATGTATTCACAGTAATGTCAAAATTTTATTCATGGCGTTTTGAATAAAACCCTTTATTGAATCTATAGGGACAGAGTATTCATTTGTGTTGTCCCTAAGAATATCTCCTTACAAATAAAAAAAAAATATATAAAGACCAACATGCCCCTAAAAAAGGGGACAGCAGAATGGCAACAATCTACCCTGGAGATGAAATAAAGTCTTCACAATCCATCATTATCAGAATTCCACATTCATAATATAACCTGACCAATCAGTTTCCATCCTGACCCAGCCTCCACATACAAAGCCAATGAATGATCTTGATTAAGAACCAGCATTCCTAACCTTGTGACATAAAAAGCTAAACTTAAAAAAATATGCTTGTTAACCTTAACAATAGTTAGCAAACTCATCTTGCAGGGTAATGGATTATTTACATTGTTTACACGTGGACTATTGTCCTCATCTTTAATGATATCACATTTTGACTGTTGTGGCCTTCATCAGGTGCTTTTTAATCCAAGTTACCTTCAAGGAAGGTCAAATTGAACCTGTTATTTACTCTAAAGGAATGAACCGTGCTTTTGTTCCACTGCCCACATCTAAGGAAATCTTGTCTAGTCCTTATTTTTAGTATTACTCAATTATTGCTAATTCTGTTTTTACCGAATCAAAGTACACACTGCCTGGCACAGGGCTTGAACTCTTAATTATTAGCCACCAAATTTATAAGCTAATGCTTTAAATCCACTAAGTTATTGTGCCTTAGTTTAAGGAGTTCTCATTTGTATGGCCTTGTGCCATGACTGTTCATTTAAGAGAGAAAAAAAAGAAAGAGAGAGAAAAAAAGAGAAGAGAGAAAAAAAAGAAAGAGAGAAAAAAAAAGAAAGAGAAGAAAAAAGAAAGAGAGAAAAAAGAAAGAGAAAAAAAAAAAAGAAGAAAAGAAAGAAGAGAAAAAAAAGAAGAGAAGAAAAAAAAGAAAGAAGAGAAGAAAGAAGAGAGAGAAAAAGAAGAGAGAGAAAAAGAAAGAGAGAGAAAAGAAAGAGAGAGAAAAAGAAGAGAGAGAAAAAAAGAGAAGAGAAGAAAAGAAGAGAAAAAAGAAAGAGAGAGAAAAAAAGAGAGAGAAAAAAAGAGAGAGAAAAAAAGAGAAAGAGAGGAAAAAAAAGAAAGAGAGAAAAAAAAAAGAAAGAGAGAGAAAAAAAAGAAAGAGAGAGAAAAAAAAGAAAGAGAGAGAAAAAAAAGAAAGAGAGGAAAAAAAAGAAAGAGAAAAAAAGAAAGAGAAAAAAAGAAAGAGAAAAAAAGAAAGAAAGAAGAAGATATTCTACTTGGATTGAGTTGTTAAAGAAGAGGGAAAGAAAGAAGAGGGGGAATTCAGGAAAGAAAGAGTGGGGAATCTTTTTATTTTTATTTTCAAAGAAAGAAGAGAAGATTGAAAGAAGAGGAAGGTGTTCTAAGAAAAAAGGAAAAGAAAGAGAAGAGAAAAAAAAAAGAAAGAAAGAGAAAGAGAAAAAGAAAGAAGAGAAGAAGAAAAAAAAAGGAAGAAAGAGAAGAGAGAAAAAAGAAAAGAAAGAGAGAAGAAAAAAAGGAAAGAAAGAGAAGAGAGAAAAAAAAGGAAAGAAAGAGAAGAGAGAAAAAAAAGGAAAGAAAGAGAAGAGAGAAAAAAAAGGAAAGAAAGAGAAGAGAGAAAAAAAAGGAAAGAAAGAGAAGAGAGAAAAAAAGAAAAGAAAGAGAAGAGAGAAAAAAAGAGAGAGAAAAGAAAAGAGAGAGAAAAAAAAGAGAGAAAAAGAAAAGAGAGAAAAAAAGAAAGAGAGAAAAGAGAAAAAGGAAAGAAAGAGAGAGAGAAAAAAAAGAAAGAAAAGAGAAGAGAGAAAAAAAGAGAGAGAAAGAGAAAGAGAGAAAAAGGAAAGAGAGAGAAAGAGAGAAAAAAGGAAAGAAAGAGAAGAGAGAAAAAGAGAAAAAAAGAAAGAAAAAAAAAGGAAAAAAAGAGAAGAGAAAAAAAAAAGAAAGAGAAAAAGAAGAGAGAAAAAAAGAAAGAGAAAAAGAGAAAGAAAAAAAAAGAAAAAAAAAAGAGAGAAAAAAAAAGAAAAAAAGAAGAGAGAAAAAAAGGAAAGAAAAAAGAAGAGAGAAAAAGGAAAGAAAAGAGAAGAGAGAAAAAAAGGAAAAAGAGAAGAGAAAAAAAAGGAAAGAAAATTCCAAGAGAGAAAAAAAAGGAAAGAAAGAGAAGAGAAAAAAAAAAAAAAAACAAGAAGAGAGAAAAAGATAAAAAGAAAAGGAGAAGAGAAAAAAGGAAAAGAAGAGAAGAGAGAAAAAAAAAAAAAATAAAAAGAAAAGAGAAGAAAAAAAAAAAAAAGGAGAAGAAGAAAAAAAGAAAAAAGACAAGAAGATAAAAAAAAAAAGGACAAGAAGATAAAAAAAAGAAAAGGACAAGAGATAAAAGAAAAAGGACAAGAAGATAAAAAAAAAGGAAAAGAAGATAAAAGAAAAGGAAAGAAGAGAAAAGAAAAAAAAAGAAGAGAAAAGAAAAAGAGAGAAAAAAGAAAAAAAGAAAAGAGAGAAAAAGGAAATAAAAAGAAAAGAGAAAAAAAAAGGAAAGAAAAGGAAGAGAAGAAAAAAGAAAAGAGAGAAGAAGAAAAAAAGGAAAGGAAGAGAAGAGAAAAAAAAAAGGAAAAGAAGATAAAAAAAAAAAGGAAAGAAGATAAAAAAAAAAGGAAGAGAAGATAAAAAAAAAAAGAAAAGAAGAAAAAAAGAAAAGGACAAGAAGATAAAAAGAAAAGAGAAAAAAGAAAAAAGAAAAGGACAAGAAGAGAAAAAAAGGAAAAGAAGATAAGAAGAAAAAAAGAAAAGAAGAGAAAAGAAAAGGACAAAGAGAAAAAAAAAAAAAGGAAAAGAAGACAAAAAAAAAAAAGAAAAGGACAAGAAGAAAAAAAGAAAAAAGAAAAAGAAAAAAGAAAAAAAGACAAGAAAAAAAAAGAAAAGGAAAGAAAGAAAAAAAAAAAAGGAAAAGAAGAAAAAAAAGAAAAGAAAAGGACAAAGATAAAAAGAAAAGGAAAGAAGAAAAAAAGAAAAGAAAAGAAGATAAAAAGAAAAGGACAAGAAGAAAAAAAAAGGACAAGAAGAAAAAAAAAAAGAAAAAAAAGAAAAAGGACAAGAAGAAAGAAAAAGAAAAGGACAAAAAGAAAAAGAAAAACAAAAGGACAAGAAGAAAAAAAAAAAAAGGACAAGAAGAAAAAAAAAAAAGGACAAGAAGAAAAAGAAAAGAAAAGGACAAGAAGAAAAAGAAAAGAAAAAGGACAAGAAGAAAAAGAAAAGAAAAAGGACAAGAAGAAAAAGAAAAGAAAAAGGACAAGAAGAAAAAGAAAAGAAAAAGGACAAGAAGAAAAAGAAAAGAAAAAGGACAAGAAGATAAAAAGAAAAAGGACAAGAAGATAAAAAGAAAAAGGACAAGAAGATAAAAAGAAAAAGGACAAGAAGATAAAAAGAAAAAGGACAAGAAGATAAAAAGAAAAAGGACAAGAAGATAAAAAGAAAAAGGACAAGAAGAAAAAAAAAAAAGGAAAAAGGAAAAGAAAAAGGAAAAAGAAAAAAAAAAGGACAAGAAGAAAAAAAAAAAAAGGACAAGAAGAAAAAAAAGGACAAAGAAAAGGAAAAGAAGAAAAGATAAAAAAAAAAGGACAAGAAGAAAAAAAAAGAAAAAAAAAAAGACAAGAAGAAAAAAAAAAAAGGACAAGAAGAAAAAAAGAAAAAAGGACAAGAAGAAAAAAAAAAAAGGACAAGAAGAAAAAAAGAAAAGGACAAGAAGAAAAAAAAAAGGAAAAGAAGATAAAAAGAAAAGAGAAGAAGAAGATAAAAAGAAAAGAGAAGAAGAAGATAAAAAGAAAAGAGAAGAAGAAGGGAAAGGAAAAGAGAAGAAGAAGGAAAAGGAAAAGAGAAGAAGGAAAAGGAAAAGAGAAGAAGGAAAAGGAAAAGAGAAGAAAAAAAAAAAAAGGAAAAGGGCAAACGAAAAAATGTAAAGTAAAAAAGGACAAAAGAATAAAACCAACAGCAGCAGATTCATCTGTCGTATCATTTAAAAAAAAAAAAAAAAAATTCTGAATTTTGTAAAGCATCTCGTCCCAACATGTTTGGCTAGGAGATTGAATTCCAGTTAAAGAAATTTAGATAAGATAACATTTTGGATATTTCTGAGGAAGTCAACATCTGACTACAGTGATAATTGTCGGCAAGGAAGCACTTGTGACTTACTTCGTACAAGTTCAAAAATAGATACTTGGTGAGGATCAAAGTGGTTTCCGAATGAAGGGAATATGCTGAAATTATATGCACAAGGCAATTGCATGTCCCCCCCCCCCCCCCAAAAAAAAGAGCCTTGCTTTTGCATGAATTTCTTCATGAGGAAATTGTCGAAAAGCAATCTAAACTCTTGATAAACCCAAGCAAACTTTAGAAAACTGATATCTACTCTGAGATTTGACTATACTGGCCAATTTTAAGTTTGAAGCTCAAGTTTATTGCGTTAATATCTAAGCTGACCTTTTAAAAGGTTCAATGAGAATTCTTCTGCTGCCACTTAGTTTGATGTACGTAGGTCCATACTTTCTGTAAAATCAATTACTTTTATGTCCCAAGTGACTTTTGCATTTAATTTTA